TTTTCCTGCGGTTTCTTCTGGGTCTGTCAGTGGAGTCTCATCAGATTCTCCTACAAGGACTAATGAAACAGACAAGAAGCAGCTCTGACAGCAATGAGAGAACAGTTGAGTTCATCAAGAAGAAGATCAGGAGCAATCGATCTCCAGAAAAATTTATGAATCTGTTCCACTGTCTGAATGAACTGGGTGATCATTCACTAGTGGAGGAAATACAACACTATCTGACATCTGGAACAATAAAGGAAGTCAAACTTTCTTCATCTCAGTGGTCAGCTGTAGCTTTTGTGTTGTTGACATCAGAGAAGGAGCTTGATGTGTTTGATCTCAAGACATTTGTTGTAGGAAGCGATAAAGCACAAAACATGAAAGTTTTTCAGAAGCTGCTGCCTGTGATTAAAGAATCCAGATCAGTTCAGTAAGTATCACTGAGAACAATCACTTCACTTTTAAAACTTTAAGAAAATCAAAGTTAAAAGCTTATAAATCTTCAGATGCTATCCAGAGTTTAGTGGTCAGTATTTTTTATGTGTTTTTGAAACAGTTCTATCTGCAGATTAGTTTTAAACAAGTTTAAAGTTACAAATGAATTAATACATAAATATTGATTCAATTCAAATTGAAACATGGATAATAAATTAAGAAATACATCAGTGTCTGTTTTTTTTTCCTTACAGAATGAATTAATTACATTGGAATTGAAAGTTGTTTATTGCAGCAAGTTATTTTATTGCTTTTGTTTTCAGTTCATAGTGTTTACAAGTATGATTTTCATTTCTCTACAGCATAAGTGATTGTGGTCTCACAGATGAAGGTTGTGCTGATCTGGCTTCAGCTCTGAGATCGAACACTTCACACCTAAGAGAATTGAATCTGTCTTGGAATAAACTAGGAAGTTCTGGTGTGGCACTTCTCTGTTCTGTACTCAAGAATCCTCAGTGTAAACTGGAGAAACTGTGGTAAGATCATATTTGACTCTGACACATAAAACACAATGTAAAGTATAATTGATTTATGAATCTGTCTTGGAATAAACTAGGAAGTTCTGGTGTGGCACTTCTCTGTTCTGTACTCAAGAATCCTCAGTGTAAACTGGAGAAACTGTGGTAAGATCATATTTGACTCTGACACATAAAACACAATGTAAAGTATATTTGAAGTATTCAGCCTCTTTCTGCTGCTGTGAGTTCAGCTGATTGAGCTGTAAATGACTGAACACAGGAACTGCTCCTCTGTAACATGATACTGCAGGACTGAAATTCACACTGAAATACACACTTTCACACATAATTAACATTTAAATCTCTTGACTTCAAACAGAATCAAGCTCAACTCAGTAAGAACTGAGAACGTCTCGGTTATGTATGGTAACCCTCGTTCCCTGATGGAGGGAACTGAGATGTTGTGTCAAAGTTCCAACATTAAGGGTCGGCATCCGGGATCCCAGACACCTGGGATCATGCATTTCACCTGGGACATCTAGGAAAGTTACCATATACCATATAATCTCAGCCAGAAACCTTTTCTTCTGCTTAAAAATACTAATAAAAATTCAGCGGCTAGTGAACCTGGTTGTTGGGAAGTGTTCACTTACTCAAGTGAGAAAAGAACACTACAGACACCACATCCTACCCGATGGGAGGTGACATGTGGAGATGTATCCAATGGACTTGCTAGAGGAAGTACTACATAGGGAAGGTTCTGTGGTGGACTGCACATAAGGGGAGAACAGTCAAACACAGCACCTGGTGACAGCAGCGCTCTGTCCAGGGAAAACACGGAGTCCTTAATAGGAACTTTGCAGTGGAAGATACACATATGGGACCACCATAGGGAGTCACAACATATGGAGCACTATTCCAATATAAGAGTTCAGTTGAGGGATACTTACAAATAGTTCCTCCGCAAAACTCAGCTGTGTGAGAGTGCTTGACTGATGAAGAGGGTAGTCCAGGGGTTCATAAGAAGGAACTGAAACTGGACTCAAAAGCACACATTATCACCTCAGAGAGGGAAAAGGCACTATATGCAAGCTCTATACCTTACCAGGCATCTGAATTTGTGTTAGTACCCAGAACTCTGGATTAAACTGGTTCCATTCACAGATTATAGGATCTGGCAAATGTATTAGGTGTAGCCCAGCCTGCAGCTCTACAAATGTCTGCTAGTGAGGCACCATTTGCCAAAGCTGACGAAGCCGCAACATTCCTGGTCAAGTGAGTTCTCAATTCCAAGGGGCATGGTAAGCCTCTGGCCTGATAATCCATGAGAATCACATCCACAATCTATTGAGAGATTCTCTGTTTGGAGACAGCCTTCCCCTTCTGCTGTCCTCCAAAGCTGACAAAGAGCTGTTCAAAAGGATCTGAAACACTGTGTGCGCTCCAAATAGATGTGCAGGGCTTGCACCAGGCACGACAGAGGCAGATCTGGGTCTCATTTGTCAGGAGGGATAGCTTGCAGGGCCACCACTTGGTCTCTAAAGGGAGTAGTGGGAAGCTTGGGCACATATCCAGGTCAGGGTCTCAGAACAACATAAGAGTCTGCCGGGCTGAATTCTAAGCATGTTTTATTGACAGAGAGGGCTTACAGACCCCACCCTCTTGATAGAGCAGAGTAAGGTATACCGTCTTCATAGAGAGGACACTAAGCTCAACTGACTTAAGAGGCTTGAACAGATCTATTTGTAAGGCCTGAAGGACCACTGAAGGATCTCAAGAGGAGATAAGGCGGATAAATCTGAGATAAATCTCAGAGGATTCAACCTCCATGCACCTCTCAGAAATCTGGTAACCAGATCATGCTTCATCTACGATCTGCCACCCACAGTGCGTGGTCGCTGCTATAGCGGCCAAGTACACCTTGAGTGTAGAAGCAGACAGGTGCCTGTCCAGTCCCTCTTGGAGGAAGGATAGCACTGATCCAATACCACATCACTGCGGGTTCTCCCCCCGAGAAGAACACCATTCTTGTGAGGCAAACTGATCTATCAGATCTATCTAGAGCGTGGCTGAGTGTTGCGCTTAGACCCCATGAACCATTCATCCAGCCGAAAGCGCTCTGTGCAGGGTGGGGGAGTCTACTCGAGCCCAATGCTCTGAGCTGCACAGGTGAGCACTACCGCCATCTCAGCATCAGCCTCAGACTGAGACATGTCACCCGGAAGTGCAGTTCCAGCTGAGTCATCTGCTTCTAATGGTTCCAGCCCGCTCTCTGCTGCTGCGATCAACAGCTCATCCTCCTCATGAGCCTGAGGTTACTTGCGATCTTTTAGAAAAGAACGCGAGCCGCAAGCCTATGGGCATGTCCTCACAAGAAGTACATGAAGCATCCACAAGGGCTGCTTCAGCATGGGCCCAGCTCAGTACTCTCACTACACTTATCTGTGTATGAAGAAGGGAGAGACTCCTGCCTGTGCCGTAGATCCAACGACGAGGAGTAAGAGAGGTGAATGAAATGCTGCTTCTCAGAGAGCTGCATCAGCTCCGAAGAACAGAACGAGTGAGCAAATGCCTATTTATACCTGGGCATCCAGGGCATGGCCAGCCATGCAAATTTTGCTTGCCAATTTCATTGGCCTTTTCTCAATGTCAGAGGTGTTTGACACAACGTCAAAGTGACTGGCTGAAAAGGAAATGAAGAACATGCTGGATTCATTCTTTCTGTTCGTCACGTTCATATTTCTGCAGTAGTTTTTTTTTTATATATTGTTTTAATTGTGCAAACACATACAGTAAATCAATGCTACATACACTGAACAGCCATAACATTAAAGCCACCTGCCTAATAACATGTAGGTCCCTCTCGTGCTACCAAAACAGAAAAGAACACGAGCAAACTCAGTTTTTGGGCTCAAGAAGGGGGCTTGGTTTTAAGCAGGATTTGTTGCCAAAGTAAGTTACGCTACACATCTACCCTATTCCAAAGCAGGTTTTATTCTGGGTTACAGATCTCAAACTGGACCAATCAGCTGTGAGCAGTGATATACATCTGATGGAATAAAGCCACTCCCCCGTATCCCTCACTCCAAATTAAAGCAGTTTACAGTGTAAAATTTTTAAAGGGGTCCTATTATGCTTTTTCACTTTTTGAATTTTAGTCAGTGTGTACTGTGTATGTTTGGGCATAAAAAAGATCTTCAAACTTCCAAATCTCAAAGTCCACTCCAAAGGGAGAAATTTCGTTTGAAAAAAATCCCTTTTCAAGAACTACAATGAACGGCTCGTTTGGACTACAGCGTTTGTTTTCCGGGTTTTGTGATATCACAAAGCGGCCCATTAGAATATCATTAAAATAATTCCAGCACCTGGAAATTCGAATGATTGGGGGGTGGGGAGGGGCGAGGTCGTGGTTAGAACTAGGGCTGTGCGATTAATCGAAATCGCAAAGCCTGGGATGTGGACGGGATATTACTCTGTTCCAGAGCATATGCATGACTGCCAGCCTTGAGCTGCAGTCTTACTAACCAATAGAGTGAGCGCACCTCCGTTCTCTCCAATCAGCACTGCTCTAGCCAACTGCTTAAACGCTCCCCATAAAAAAAAAACCGAAAGC